CTTCTCCGTCTGTGAGTAATTATTTTCTGATTTGATGTCTGACGGTGGGCTTTGTTCCCCCTCTCTCCTCCTCTCTGCCCGTGTCTCATCTGTTTGAGATAATGATTAAAAAATGGAACTAATTTCCTTGAATCCACAGGAAATCACGTCGCGCTCAGATCGGCGTCCTTTCATTAACCGCTCGCTGCTGTCGAATAACGAGCTCCGCCGAGCACATCGATCCAATAAAAAATAAAGTTTGATAATGTTTCCAGCCTCTCGTTGTCTCTGCTGTCTTTCTAACGACCTTCGATTGTCAGACTAAATAATGCTGTGTCATCTTTCAGCAGGAGGATGAATTTACAAAAATGTATTTATTTTTTTGTATGATGATTAAATTTGACTTTTTGAGTTTATGAAAATATCAACCTCAATGTTCATTTACTGCTCTGAAGCTGCAACAGGAAACACACTCTTTGGAATTAAAGTCCCCAAAAGGTGGCAGTACAAGACTAAAGTGTGTGTGTGTGTGTGTGTGTGTGTGTGTGTGTGTGTGTGTGTGTGTGTGTGTGTGTGTGTGTGTGTGTGTGTGTGTGTCTTGTTTTACTATCTTTGTGGGGACATAGTTTTGACCCTTATGAGGAATATCTAGAAAATTAGTGATCTTGAAGAATGAGGACAATTTTGTTTGGGGAATTGTTTCATACCAACAAAAAACAATCAATCAGGAAAACAAGCGCAATGCACATGATTAGAAAATTGAAAATAATCGTTTTCTATTAAAAACTGAGAATGTTGTCACTTTTTTCTCATTTTTTTGTAAGTTTCTTTTTATTTATTTACCAGGAAGTCCAACAGAGATTTTAAAAAAAAGAGGGAAAATATCTGTAAATTTACAACTTTAATCTTGTGAGTAAGTTTTTTTTTTCTTTTCCAGATGTTGCTGCTCGGTCTTCAAAAGGCTGCAAATACAAATGTGTGTGTGTGTGTGTGTGTGTGTGTGTGTGTGTGTGTGTGTGTGTGTGTGTGTGTGTGTGTGTGTGTGTGTGTGTGTGTGTGTGTGTGTGTGTGTGTGTGTGATGTAAAGTGGAGTGGTCCTCACTTCCTGCTGCGGGGCGACACGTCGGTCAAACACTTCCCTCAGGAGAGAGAGAGTGTTCTCACGCTGTAGAGTAAAATATGACACACACACATATTCACACACACACACACACACACACATAAAATCAACAAGCTGGACACGTAATGAAGCTAAATCAACTTAATTAATGGACGCCGGCGTGTGAACTGATGTATCTGTACCCGTTACAGCTCCCCCTCCCCCCCCTCCCCCCCTCCTCCCCACGACTTCTTCTCGTTTATTTATCCATAAAAAATGTTTAACTCTACGTTCGCCCCTCCCCCGTTCTGCTCCCTGGGTGTCACTGATGGTCTTCCTGTGACGGTGGGTCACAAGCACCATTTCCTCCTCTGGTGACATGAGAGGTCAGAGGTCAAAGTTGAACAGCTGTCTAGTTTTCCTACTGTACGTGTGTGTGTGTGTGTGTGTGTGTGTGTGTGTGTGTACATGACAATTCAGAGGAAGAGAGTGTGAGTGGGAGTTTGGAGCAGACTCTGGGGGATTCTAAAGGCTGTGGGGGTACGGGGCTTAGTTTGTGTGTTTGTGTGTGAGTGTGTGTGTTTGTATGAGTGTGTGTTTTAGGGGGTCAAAGGTCAACTTCTTCCCCTCACAGTCCCTTGGGAAACACTACTTGATGGGAATCTCCTCACACTGTCCCTCGCTGTGATATGAACACACACACACACACACACACACACACACACACACACACACACACACACACACACACACACACACACACACACACACACACACACACACACACACACACACAGGCCTCTTAGCTGGGAGACAGAAGCAAACAGAATCCCAGGCTCTAAATCCTGGATCCATACCCCTCTACCCCTCATCCAAGAAGTCCTAGATGTGATGGAGACCATGACAAAAGGTTTTGGGGCCAGTTCCTACCTAGATAAAAACCTGGTTCCCAAAAGTGTTTTGTCAGCTTTTTCTAGGGGTCGATCGAAAGTTCATGAATTAAGAATCTTCAATGGCAAAAAAAGCAGATTTTTATGAAGTGAAAACAACGTTATTGTTAGAATCACAGACAACAGACGCTAACAGGAAGTCGAAACGTCGAGAAAACGTTTAAAATACAATTTTTAGAATTAAGTCGAAATAAAGTCGAATGTAGAGAATTAAGTTGAAAGACAATTTTGTAAAATTTCAAAACTGTGTTTCATTTTACGACGGAGGATTAGGGCCACGTTAATTTTATTTTATTTTTTTTAATTTCGAGATTAAAGTGTAAATTTACGAGTCATAAATTTATGACTTTTTTATTTATTTATTTATTTAACATGGCCCTAATCCTCCGTTGTACAATTTAATTCTCGACATTTCGACTTTTTTCAATAAAAAATAAAAAAATAAATCTTCCTCCTCTCATTTTTTATTTCTCATATCTGGCCCTAATCGTCTTCCGTACATAATAAAGCGATTCTCTGCTGCTGAGTTCACGTACCTCACCTAACCTGACCTCAGTGAAGGTGCACCGGTTGTTTTCCATTCACAATAAGAGCATTGTAAAAAATAGTATCTTTGATATCACAAAGCACATTCAGCTCCGATTCGCTTATTCGGCTTTATTTTGACCTACATTCGCCCACGATGCATTATGAACAAAAATCCAAGAGGGGAAAATACATCCACCGTTTGTGAGTGTTATAATACCGTATCTAAGCGGACACGACAGTAAACGATACATAGACATTTCCTGTCCCCCGAGCCTTCAGTGTAAACCCGCAATATCACAAGACGCGCTGGGTTTAAGATCCGGGAGAGGACACTGACACCGAACCGGGAGCCCACAAACCTGCGTCAGAGGCCGGGTAAGTGTTGGCCATGCTTTTCCTTTTTTTCTAATCCTTCTGTCATTCACAACCAGGCGACAGCATCTCCAGCCTGGTGTAACACGACGTCTTCAGCTCCCAGAGAAACGTGTGAAACGAGCCAGACGTCGTTTAAAGATCTTACAATTTAAAGTCATCGCTGTCTAAGATAAAAACACTACCTGCAAAATACAAAACAATGCACCGCAAGAATCCCGTTTAGTGTTATCTTTAATTCGGCATTAACATAATCTAATTTAGACACACAATTTAGCAAAATATGAGTCAAAATCGTGCCGCTGGTATCGGCGGGTTTCGGTACGTATAGCGAGAGGCTGCTGTTGCGGGACAGTGCAAAAGTTAGATGTTTTATTAATGTCATGCATACTTACAGTTCTATATTAATGCCGAATAAAAGAGTATATTTGACTTTTTAAAAATATACAATAAAGTCAAATATCATGCAAATGTGTGGATGTCTTTACGCGTGACCTCTTTAACTTGATCGATATCTTGACAGAGGTTTGTCCCTCATATAACAGATGACTGAATCGCTCTCTGAATCTTTCTGGGTTATCCTGCTGTGCAGCAGATAGATAAAAGACAGCAGGTCGGATTATTATCGCTTCTTCTTGTTTTCATGTTTGCATCGTGCAGGATTTGTGATCTTACTGTTGTGTATTGAGCAGCTTACAGGCGACAGAGAGGGATTGTTTTCGCTCCAGTGACCTGAGCCAAGGTCTTCTCTCATCTGCTGCGCGATTTCACGTGTTTCTGCATCCTCTCTCAGTACTGAGCTGCTCTGCATTCATGGAAAGAAACGTAGCCATGTTTATTCTAATATTTATGAAACAATTGCATGACAGAAATGTGTTTCCTCTTGCAGCTTTTTGGGCCTTTTCTTTAAACATTTACAAGCTTTTCTCTGAGTTATGATTGATTAAATATTGATAATCTGAGAGGCTGGAGTTTGTCCAGAAATCAGTTATTTCTTGCAATTTAGACATTGAAAAATGCTCAATTTATTTTGTCATAAAAAGCATTATTTGGCCAAACTTCAACCACTTGAGATAATCTTACGTCAGTGCATGTTTCTGAGTGTTCCTGGCATGTCATTTGGCTGAGGAAGAAGCCCATAATAAACCCCCTTCTCACCACTGAACTGGTTCAAGTTTGGAAATCTGATAGGAGGAAGGAACCCACCATCACGTTTGCTGAAGTTACGTACGACTACAGCGGAACTCACGTCGTTTGCTCCTTCAAAATAATACAGCGTCTTCCTGTGTGTTCTCTCTGAGGAAATGTAACATAAAAGTAGAAGTCATGTTAAATAATTCAGAATGAATGACTAGTGAGATTATGGTGCGTTATGTAACAAAACAATAGATTACAAGGACACAAAATAAAGTGTAAATTGACCCATAAAGAGCTAAAAGTTTAATATCTCAGATCAAGAACCGAAAAGTCAACTTGCTCTGATCCTCTTTGGCCCCCGGGTTTCCTGTAGGGACGCTTTTTTATTTATTAATCAACATCGTATACACATTAAACTACTTCATGAGCAGAGATGGGACACAGTCAGTTCACACAAAATCGCTTTAAAGACATTCAGACTGAACTGAGCCCACAAATCGTTTCCATGACGACGCTCAGACGAGATGGAACAGCTGCTTCTTTATTATCGAAAGCACGACCCTGACACAGTTTAAATATTTAATTTGAAAACCTGACAGCTGCTTCCTGTTTGCATCTGCAGCCAGCACAACGTCAACCTAACACATAATACCAACAACAACAACAACAACAACACTATTGATTATGATTTAAAAAAAGAAAATGTCTTGTGCTCTCATTTTGTGTGTTTAATGACTCAAACCAAATCAACCTACAGGTACAAAGAAAGTTATCTTACCTCGTGTCCTTTATTAACGTTTCTAATTTAACATTATTGAGTGTTATATTCTTTATTTTACTCATCATTCTTTAGTCCAGTCGTTTTTATTTTGAAGGAAACAACCGGAAGCCACGCTGCGCACTCCGTGTATCTTGACAGCGTTTTGGCAGAGACGGGCAGCAGTGTGCGGAGCAGCTGATGCTCTTGCGGTGCTAAAAATTATCAACTTTTATTCGCTCCAACTCTCACCGTATTGTGCTTCTTCTTCTTCTTCTTCTTCTTTCTCCTCCTTCTGCCTGTGAATTTTATTTCTTCTTCGTTTGTTTCATAATCCGGACATCAGGAATGACACGGAGCCAGTGAGGAGTTTTACTTTTCTGAGGTGAGTAAAAGACTTTAAAGTTTTACGTCATTTAGCGTCACTTTAATGCTGTGTACACTGTGTTTGCTTCAGCTGACATTTAAAGTATTCAGTGTTTTTTTTTGTTTTTTTGGTTCTGTGCTGGTTTAAGGCAGGTTTTGTTTTTCATAAAGACTGGATGATAACTTACTTATTACTTTAAATAATAAAATTATAATATTAAAGGTGTCACCTGCTTAATCCTGCAAGCAGAATCGCTAATTTAAGACCTAAAAAAATCTGTGTTTCCATAATGTAGTGACACTTTACTGAGCTCTGTATAAATCATAAAGCAAAGCGAAGTTGTAAAAAAAAATATTTTGCAAATTTTAAATGAATGACCTTTATTTTGAAAGGATTTGCCTAAGAAGAACTAAGAGTAGAAAACATATTTTTTTTGTGTTTTTTATTTTTATTTGAGTGTCCACATCAGTTCAGATTTCTCCACAATGAGGCTCAAAAAAAAAAATCAAAAAAATCTTTTGACCTCAACAAAGATGGCCGCCAGACTCACGTTCGGCGACCATCTGGTGACATGGAGGTGTTTTATTTGTATTTTCTTCTGCTTCTCACACCTGTTTTTATACACTGACTGTGCGTCTTTAATGAAACATGTAACGATTGAAGTTATTTTGGTTCTTTTTAACTCTTAAACTCTGATATGTTGAACACGTCTGAACTTAAGCCCCGCCCTCTTTAAACTTTTAATGACGTCTTAAATTAAATTAACAGCTATGCACTGTGAGCCGGAGGGCATGCAGCCGGGCAGCGTCCCCTGAAAATAGCTCTCGTGCCTGCGTTTGTGTTTCTGTTTGCACACTTGAACGTGTCACATGCCACACGGCCGCGTCTCCAAAGTTCAAGCCCGGGCGCCACGAGGGACAAGCGTCAGATTTAATAACAAAAAAACAAACAAAAAACAGCACACGTTCACTGATTGCATCATCCTAAAAACGATTACAAACCCTTTAACGCCGCTCTCTGTTGTCTCAGATCGACCGCAGGTTTGTGTGCAGCAGCAGCAGCGGCGGCGGCGGCGGCAGCCAGGCGGTGGCATGGCCTTGGCGTTTTGCGGCAACGAAAACGGAACCCAAGCATACAACGTGGAGAAGGGCGTGCTGGACAACGGCTGCTTCGTGGACGCGCTCAACCTGGTTCCCCACGTCTTCCTGCTCTTCATCACCTTCCCCATCCTCTTCATCGGTAAGTGCCAGGATGTAAACATGATGGACTGTAAGTGCACGCTCTCCCATTACATTGTGATGCTTTCTGTGCTGTCGGATGATTTGATGAGGAAGTCGTCAGGATGCTCCTCGCTCGATAAATTATCTAGAACTTCCACCTGATGTGTGCGCCGTTACTGTTACAGTCTGTCTGGGGTCAAAGGTCAAAGGTCAAAAGTCAAAGGTCAAAGGTCACACGGATAAAGAGCAGAAACGGCTCTGATGATAACGAGGAGTGAGGGGAGGAAAGTTTCTGTTGTTTCCCGCTGAGCTGTGTGACGATCGTCTGTTACTCACTTCATGTGGAGCAGATGTGTTAGAGACACACACCACACACACACACACACACACACACACACCACACACACACACACACACTCTCTCTAAGACACGCTCTCTTCAGCAGTGTGAACATTAAGCAGCTTTGAAGAGCAGTTAAGACGGGATTAGTTCAGCGATCCAGCAGGTTTTTTTTGTTCTGTTTCTGCAGGAAATACAAAAAACTGAAATCATGATTTAAATATTTTGTTTTGTTCGTTTCTGTAAACATCGTCCAGTTTTCCTCTTTTTTACGAGACACTGAAGGCAGCAGATCTTCAGAGGGTCACTGCGACTCTCCAACAACACTTCTGGCCTCAACTCAAGAATCCGTTCTGTAGTCATGACACAGTTTCACATGAAATGTCTAAACAGGATGAAATTATGAAGTGTTGAGCATATCTGACCCCAAAGGTCAAAGGTCAATATGTTCAGTAATGGCCTGAAGTGATGAGCTCGTCCTCCTCCTGGGGCTCAAAGATGAACTGATTTGATTTGAGTGGTCAGAACAATCGATGGTCGATGTCGACCCGGTGAAGAAGAGCTCGCCGCGCCCGGAGGGAGTTACGTAACATCAGTTTTATTTTCACTGTTTGTCTGAGAAAAACGACCGAATGAAAAATTATGAAACAAGAATCATGATGATAACAACTTTTATAGTGTGTGTGTGTGTGTGTGTGTGTGTGTGTGTGTGTGTGTCTGTGTGTGTGTGTGTGTGTGTGTGTGTGTGTGTGTGTGTGTGTGTGTGTGTGTGTGTGTGTGTGTGTGTGTGTGTCTCTGTGTGGTGCTCTCTGTGTGTGTGTGTGTGTGTGGGAATAGCTCTGACCAGAAGCCCTCAGTCCGCTCCCTCAGGACTCTCTAATTGTTTCTTCCTGCTTTGTGCTCTTTTTCCCCGGAGACGTCGAAATGGCCGCGGTCCATTTAGTTTAAGAGCAGAGACGTAAACCTAATGCACACATGAAACCTCCGTCCTGCTGACCTCTCATATCGATACCCGGCTTTCTAATAAACTTAATAAAGACGAGATCAAAGAGACACCAACAGGAAGTTATTTAAACCGTCTCTCCTCTCAGGTTGGGGCAGCCAGAGCTCAAAGGTCCAGATCCATCACAACACATGGCTCCATTTCCCCGGACACAACCTGAGATGGATCCTCACCTTCTCGCTGCTGTTCGTGCACGTCTGCGAGTTCGCCGAGGGCATCGTCTCCAACAAGTGAGCCCCTCAGGAAGACCGCCCAACCTTAGCCCACTCATGTCATCTTTCATATTCAATGGTAAATATATATACTTCCTGTTTGCCTCTCGCTGTAGGATGATGAACACCAACCACCTCCACCTCTTCATGCCGGCCTTCATGGGGTTCATAGCAGCTACGACATCGGTGGTTTACTACCACAACATAGAGACGTCCAACTTCCCCAAACTGCTGCTCGGTAAGACCTGACACTTTGGAGGGGGAGGGGAGGGGAGGGGAGGGGGAGGGGAGGGGGGGGAGGGGGGGAGGGCAACAGGCTGGGAAAACAGGGTCACATTTTCTGACACTCCAAAGAAAAAGGACCAAATGGAGCTGCAGATACCAATTTTTTATCCAACTTTTTTTTTTTATTTGTAAATTTTATTTCATTCAAACAAACAATAAGTTAAGAAAAACAAACAAACATAAAATCTCAAATTTTGAATTAAAAGGAGCAGAAAGAAGACTAATCATCTGAAGGAGCAGTGGCTTCCAAAGTGTCGGCGGGCAGCCCCCTGGTGGGCCGTGTGGGTACTGCAGGTTGCCGCGAAAAGCCCTCCACCAATTAAAAAAATAAAATAAATATCACAATAATGA